CCCTGGGCCTCCTTAATTATTTGGAGGTCGGAGGATGAGAGTTCCCTCGGAGCCTAAGGCTTTCTCCGCACTCCAGGATGCCTTTGCTCTGAGCTTTAGGAGCAAAGCAAGACGCCGCATCCACATCTGCATTTTAAAGGGACTTGTGAGTAATTTAAAAGCAGACAGAGTTGACCAGGAGAAGTAAAAATTGCAAGTGCTGGAAATTTTAACTCGGGGAGAAATAATCTTTTCCATATTTTAATTTGACTTAAAAGGAAAAATGGCGCCGGAATGTTGTTTCTTTGTTTGAAAGGACAGTATCAAGAAAGAGATATATTTGGCAACAAAGTTTGTGTATTTATAGCGTCTCTCTTTTTTTATAAGAAGTGGATTTGTACAGGCAGGAAAATGGCTTCAAAGCGTTTAGGAATTACTGCTGTTTCTAAAAGTACAATTCTTTCTTCTGTAGCACAGCCTGCAGTGCAATCTAAACTTAAATCCTCCCCACCTTCTTCCCCACTACTTGCATTTACACTTAAAGATATTCAAGATGTTTTAAAGCAAGCAACACAAGAAATAAAGAAGGAGATGGCTGATCTCCTTGACAGTAAAATGAAGGGGGAGATGGCTGACCTTCTTGAGAATAAAAATAGAGAAATGAGGGAAGACATATTGCTTGCACTTCAAGGGTTAGCTACACATATTGAACACTTGGATGATCGGGTGGATGAAGTTGTGGAAAATACTGAAAAACTTGAAAGCAGAGCTGTTAAAGTCGAAAATAAAATTGATATAATAGAGGATGAAGCTACCATCTCACAATATAGAGATATGGAATTTGCATTGCGAATAAGAGGATTAAAGGAGGACCCAAGAGAAGATCTGAAAGAGAAGGTGGCAAAAGCTATAGCTCCTATTCTGGGATGTGAACCTGAGGAATTATCAAGAGAGATGGATAAAATATTTAGGGTTAATTCATGGATGATGAGGCAGAAAAACTTACCCAGAGATGTGGTTATTTATTTTTCCAGGAGATCACTTTGAAAAGTAATTATTCAGGCTTTCTACAAACAGAGATTTCAAATTGCAGGTCAAAATATTATAATCTTAAAAGAAATACCTCCAAAAATTCTTAAAAAAAGAAAAGATTTCGTCTTTCTGTCTGAGGAGCTTAAAAATCGACGGGTCCAGTTTAGATAGGAGATACCTATTGGAATACTGGTGAATTATGCAGGGACACGATATAGACTTAATACAATTTCAAAGGCAGAAGATTTTTATACTTATGTCCTGAAAGCAGATTCACCACCATCTTCACGACCTAAGAGAATAGAAGAAAGGCTGAAAGATAAACAACCAGTTCAAGGTGTAGGAGATTTATTGCAGGCTGAGCCTATTGAACAGAATTTGGAGGTAAAGGATGATTTAAAGGAACAGAGGATGACTCGTGCTGCATATAGACATAAAGAAAAGCAGCAGAAGCAGAAGGCTAATTCTGGATTACTATAGAGCCTGTGGGAGGGCCATGACCGAAGAGATCAATGGTTGATCTTCAAGTAGTGTTTTAGAGGCTTCAGGCCACTATGTTAATGGCCTGAATTTATTACAGAAAGTATTTTACTACTTGAAACAACATAAAAATGACATTGTTTGCTTGCAGGGACTCATATTGTTGCGAAAGATTAAAAGTACTTGATTAGTTCTTAGCTGGGATTGTTGGAGATGTGATAGTTTGGATGCTATTTATTTTCATAGCCGGTAGACTTGTAAAATATAAAAGCTTTTTGGATTAAGATTTGGTGGAACATTCAAAAGATTTTCAAGAGAAAATTATTTTTATTGGGTGTTATTATAGATTGTGATACTAAAGAAACTAATTTGATGTTGAATTTGATAACAGCAGCAAAGTTATTGGTAGGGCAATATTGGAAGCAGAATATTCCTACTATAGAAGAATGGACGCTTAAAGTGTCAAACTTAGCAGAAATGGCTGAGATTTCTGCTTATTTGAAGGATCATTCACAAGAAAGATACATTTCGGTTTGGGGAAGATGGATAGATTACAATCAGAATAAATATGGGACTAAAAAGTTCCACTTAGTTTATGAGTAAATTTTAGAATATTATTATTATTAATAGCTTATTATAGTGGAATTTTTAGTTTTAATTATATGATATTATTATTAGTATTAGTATTAGTATTGTTTAACAATTTGGATAATAACTAGTTTAATAATTAGGATATTATGTTTGTTTATGTTTTTATTAGTATTATGTTTACTTTTAATTTGTTTATATTTATGCTAAAGGGGAGTTAAAGCACATTATGGACTTGGTTATTTATATAATTGGTTAATGATAGTTAGATTATGATTATTATAATTGTAACCCTGTACTCCATTCTGGGAAGTAGGGGAGGGAGAGGGTTTTTTTTTTTAGGGTGGGTTGGTTTAGGGGTTTATATTGTAACTTTTATAAAACTCTTCAATTAAAAAAAAGAGGAAGAATTTTGACTTTGAAGAAGCAAATTATAAAGAGTAGTAATGCTTTTGAAGTTTGGTGTTGGAAACGATTCTTGAGCACACTATGGATAGCTAAGAGAACTGATGGATTAGTGAACAAATCAACTTAGAGTTCTCATTCAAAGCACAGTAACTGGGCTCAGATTGTTCTGTTTTGGCCACATTGTGCAACAACATAGCTTTCTAGAGCAATCTATAATGTTAAGGAAAGAGAAGAGGATGACCAGCATCAAGATGCATGGATTTAATTCAGTGATAATAATAATAATAATAATAATAATAATAATAATAGTAGTAGTAGTAGTAGTAGTAGTAGTAGTAGTAGTAGTAGTAAAGTTGGAAGGGACCTTGGAGGTCATCTAGTCCAACCCCCTGCTCGGGCAGGAAACCCTACACCATTTCAGACAAGTGGCTGTCCAGTCTCTTCTTAAAAACTTCCAGTGTTGGAGCATTTACTGCTTCTGGAGGCAAGCTGTTCCACTGATTAATTGATCAATACATTGATCAATACATTGCTGGAAGTCCTAAATGACCCGTAAAATTCTATCCTTGAAAAACTATATCTATCTAGTCCCTAAGACTATTGCCCTGCCTATTTAACTTATATGCAGAGCACATCATGAGAAAGGCAAGGCTAGATGAATCAAAAGTTGGAATTAGGATTGCTGGGAGAAATATCAACAACCTAAGATATGCAGATGATACCACTCTAATGGCAGAAAGTGAAGAGGAACTAAAGAGCCTCTTGATGCAGGTGAAGGAGAGTACAAAAGTTGGCTTGAAACTCAACATTAAGAAAACCAAAATCATGGTATCCGGCCCTCTCAATTCCTGGAAAATAGATGGGGAAGAAATGGAGGTAGTGACAGATTTTATTTTTCTAGGCTCCAAGATCACCTCAGATGGGGACTGCAGCCAAGAAATTAAAAGACGCTTGCTCCTGGGGAGGAAAGCTATGGCAAATCTAGACAGCATACTAAAAAGCAGAGACATCACCCTGCCAACAAAAGTGCGTATAGTCCAGGCCATGGTTTTCCCAGTTGCAATGTATGGCTGTGAAAGTTGGACCATAAGAAAGGCTGAGCGCCAAAGAATTGAGGCCTTTGAACTATGGTGCTGGAGAAGACTCCTGCGAGTCCCTTGGACTGCAAGGCGTTCAAACCGGTCAGTCCTAGAAGAGATCAACCCCGACTGCTCTTTAGAAGGCCAGATCCTGAAGTTGAAACTCAAATACTTTGGCCACCTAATGAGAAGGAAGGACTCACTGGAGAAGGGCCTAATGCTGGGAAAGATTGAGGGCAATAGAAGAAGGGGACGACAGAGAATGAGATGGCTGGATGGAGTCACTGAAGCAGTAGGTGTGAACTTAAATGGACTCCAGAAGATGATAGAGGACAGGAAGACCTGGAGGAACGTTGTCCATGGGGTCGTGATGGGTCGGACACGACTTCGCAATTAACAACAAGTCCCTAAGAATTGACACTGAGCAGATGGCACTTAGTCAGTCTCTCAAATATACCTCTCCTTCTCCCCTTTAATTTAAAAAAAAATTGCTCTAGTTCTCAGTAAGAGCCATATCACAAAGTGGATATATATCTCTTGGTTCTGTGTTAACTAAACTGCAATAGCAGTTTAGTTAACACATTGTAGCACATTGTAGAAATAAACAGATTTCAACAAAGGAAATAGTTTCTTGTTGACAGATATAAATAATTACTAAACCAACACACACACTGTTTGCAGCTAGGTAAACTGAACAGAGGGCATGGCAGTCTTTATCAGCTAATTTATATAACTTAATTTATTCATTTTGCTATGTCAAATCCTGCATTCTACCCTCATTTTCTTTCCTTGAATATTGTTTACATTATCTGTGGGACATACAGTATACATGAATGGAATGGAATGGAACGGAAAAGAACAGAATAGAAGTTAAATAACTTTTAAACATATTTTTAAAATATTTTATCCTGAATATCACACACATCCTAGAGAGGAGTCCCACGTTTCAGAAAAATGGTAACTTGGCGTCACTTTCCCTCAGGTGTTGCACTTAATTGAACTTTTTCCAATTTCTAGGAAAGAGGTAGATAATGCTAAACTTTATTTAGTCTCTATCAGATCTGCCCCATCCAATCTTTTAATAAAATAAACATTGTGATGACGAAGCATAGGAGGTTTGCAGGCCCAAATAAAACTAGCAGCTACTACATCATATTTGTTTGCAGCTATGTCCTATCATTTGGACACTGCAAAGTATACAATTTTTAACTGATCTTTGAGTGTTTTGTAATCCCAGACTCTAGAAGTGAAAGCTTAACACATGGGAGTCTTAAACTGTATGAAACATGGATACAAATCAACCTCAGTTTAACAGTTGTCTGATGTTGTGGGATTTCATCTCCCAGAATACACATACACAGAGATCTTCTTACAGAGAGCTCTTTCTTTATTGCAGCTTCACTATTGGATGACACCATATAAATTAGATTTTGTAGTTCTTTTGCCCCATCCCTTTGCGAAAGTAAATGGACATTATTTTACTTTCAAGAAAGCTACCATAACCAGACAGCAAATACAGATAATCCTTGAGTTACAACCACAACTGAGCCCAAAATTTCTGTTGCTCAGTGAAACATTTGTTAAGAGACTTCTGCCTCATTTTTACAACCTTTTTTGCCATAGTTATTAAGTGAATTATTGCAGTTGTTAAGTTAATAACATGGTTAAGTAAATCTGACTTCCCTATTGACTTTTGGCAGGTCAGATTTGGGGGTCTTACGGTCTCCATATTTATTTATTTCAGAATTAATATTGGTTTTAGTGTTTTAAAAGGCTCTTAAAACAATATATATAAATAATATATAACAATATATTATTAGAAGAAACAGTACAACTTTTGAAAGAAAAAAGATAAAATAAGGCAATAAATGAAAATAAGTTAAAAGTTAAAAGAAAGAAAAAGAGCGGAAAAAAATTATAAAGGAGCAGCTTCTGATCTTATCAGTAGCTACATTTATATATTAACCCCTCTCTCTAAGGTTACCACATAATTTCCTTCTTTTCCTTAGTTTTTCTTTTCGAATCATCAAATCCCTAAATCACAAGTTCATTTTTTTTCTTGTTTCAGCAAAAAAAAAAAAAAAGTCCATAAGGAGCTTCTAGTAAGCCCTACTCTTTTGACAATGAACGGAGAGTTTCTTTTGGGAATTTCCACTCTCCAACAGGGAAGTTGAAAATGTATTCAGAAAGAGAGCAATGGTAAATTATTTCCCTTCTGGCGATAAGATAAGAATAGGGCTGAGTCGAGCTCGGCGCCGGAAATTCCAAACATTAGAAAGAAAGCTGGTCAACAATAGTGACACTTCTTTCTCAGTAAGACGGCAACCGTCCACAAAGTTGGATAATCCTCGTTTTTGGAGTTAAATATTCCACTTCATAGCTCGTTGGGATTCATTCCCTCTTTTCCTCTTCTCCTCCCAGGATCGTCTTCAGTCTTCAGATCTTTCTAAAGGAAGGGCTTCACTGTTACAATCCCAGCTGGGTGTTTTTGCCTAAGATGCAGGGCTAACACGTGATCCTACGTCGTGCATTTATTCAGAAGAAAGTCACCCCCCCCCTCCGGTGCTCTTGGGTGTTTGGTTTCCAGCGTTTTGACCCAAAGAAGTTCATCTAGGACTCTCCTGTTGGCTGTTCTGCCTCTTCTCCTGCTGCGCCTTTCTAGTAAAGGAAGGTTCTGAAAGGCGTTCAGGTCAAGGTAATGAATCGAGCAGAAGCGGATGCTGGAGGACGGCTGTCCAAATGGTGGGGGAAGATAAACATACAGAGGGGAGGGGGCAACGCACAACTGATTGCGAAAAAACTTTAGCCTGGCCATGTTCGGTATTCTCGTGGTAGAATCAGGCATTTAGTAGATGGATATTCCCTAGAGCCTGGTTATTTTCCAGTTAAGGTAAGTTGCTTTTCCTCGCCTGGGGAATTTAGGACGTAAAGACCAGAAGAGACGAAAGCTATTCTCGAAATGGTTTCGGTTTCGTTGTTTCCGCTATTTTTTTCCTCCCATTCTGTCGGCTCGATCTTGAAAGAATAATGATAAAGCTGATTCCTTACGGTACTTTTTTTTTTTAACTTTGTGTAGACCGAACATCAGGCATACGATTGAGACAAGTGAGAGCTTAGATGTGTCTGGCTTTGCCAGGACAATATCGGATACTATCCTGCGTGCCTCAGGCTCATCATCCCTGCCCTGTATTCGGTGCGGAGGGGCTATAGCGTTTTGCCCAGCCGCGCCCTCTGGAACTGCCTTGGGCCCTTCTCCCAGATAGCTACTGTAGGTTGCCTCACGTTGAAGGAAGTGAAGAAAGACAAAATGGTCACCTAAAAGGGCTCACCATAGGTCCTTAAGATTTTGGCTTCTATGCTTATCCACCTGAACCAAATCACAACTCAGAAACTTTCTGGAACTAGATTTTTCTTAACCATGTTTCCATGGTATTGTGTTCATCTTGTTCCCCTTCCCATCCAGGATGAATTATAGCTGTTCTACTGTTAATATAGCATTTTCCCACCTTAGTCCCCCATCACCAGGGTCTCAAGTCACATGACTTCTGTTAGCTTTGGGCATCTTTGTAGTGTTGAGTGGCATCTGCCATATTCTTTAAGATGTACACAACTCTACAGCTATAAAATTTGTTTTGCCTATTGTCAGTTTCCAATGTGCCTTTATTTTATCCATTGCATCTCTGCTGAATGGTGCTGTCTGGATTGCACAGCACATTGATAAGCAAAGCTGCCCTTCTGGCTTCACTGTCCTCCTTTTCCTGCAAACCACCAGCTGGTGAGAAAGTTGTTTACAGTTATTGGACAGCAGCTAGAAGGAGACGGGTTTAGCGGAAGGACTGTCTTTTCTTTCAAGCTTCTTTCTTTGCAGTTCCTCCTGCACCCCATTCTCTTGTAACCCAGATAGAATAACACTTTTTATGTTGTTTTTAAAAGAACTAAAATAGATCAGAGTCATCAAACTTCAGTAATAGGCAGCATTTTTTTTCCTTGGGATTTCCCTTTTCTTTTACTTCTATATATAGGCAATGAATGCTGACTTCCAAATTCTTCTGTGTTCCCCTTGGAAGTGATCATGGGTTTGGTCCCATGTTGACACCATTTTGCTGCTTCAGCACTATTGAAGCCTGTAATAGGACACAATTTCACTGGAATGTTTTTTCACTTCCATTTTTTCCTTTATCTCATTCCATGTTTTATTAGTCCAGATAACCAGTTAAATATTAAAGATAAACAGTCTAGCCCTACTGCAGTTGTGCTTTTGTGTGGTTCTGTGTCTAGCTTTTTAGGAAGATAATTATAAAATGGCAGTTGGCCAGGCATCAGATGGTATGAAAACTTCCTTGGAATAAATATGAATACAGCAGAATAATAAATTACATGCTTGGCTTCTCTTTTAAACCTACTCTTGCACTACGATGTGGTTTTTCTTTCTTGGTTATTTTAGAATTTTGAACTGATTCTGCTTGTCAGTTCCTCATGTAACATTTATTCATTGGGTTCCATCCCTGCAAAGCAAATAGCTGCCTGCCGTTTTGATTTGCTGCCTTCTGGCCTTTGTAAAGGGAAATTCCTCACTGAACTAGGAGGCACTCTTGTTCTAGCTTTCACTTCATTTTATTTGAACTTTCACTTGACAATTTCATGTTAGGTTTACAAGACAGAAATTAAATCACTCATCAAAAAATGGCTTTAGCAGTAGTATGGATTGAACAAACAGAAAATAGGGAAATAGTTTAAAATCTGTTTGGAATTACTATCTGCATTACAAAGTCAACGTATAAATGTGTCTGTGTACTAGTCATCAGTATCATGCTGCAACATTAGAAGAAGATGGTGAATTTTATTGTTCATACTGCACAGTCTAAAGCAGGGTACAGATGACCTTTCAGAAATGTCTCTCTAAATATATTAGAAAAGAAGTAAGGCCTTGCTGCTGTTGTTGTTTTAATTTCTTTCTTTTTTCCCAAGAAAAAATGATTTCTGAGGTCAGGTTTATCCCTTTTAATTATATGGACAGTCTTGGAATTTTTGGTTTATTATCAATCCATGGTCCAGATTTCGTGCCTGCTCAGTTAAAGAATTTCAACTGGTGGGTTTCAGGAAGAAAATCTTCTCTGAGAACCTTCTCAGCTTCTAGAAGCGTAACCAAGCATGGGTATAAGAATAATTATATAGAACTGCCTTCACCCCGTTATATTTGCCCATCCTACCCAATCACTGCTCATCTAACAAAGTATCTATGATAGCATGTGACTACACTTTATCTTGGCTTTGCCCGAGGTAAATATTTGGTCTTTTTTAGATTCACCAGTTGTGCCATCAGTTTTCTCTCTCTAATCGAATTGCTGAAAAACATAATTAAAGACTATTATCAATCTAATTAAAAAGCTATCTCATTTAGAAGAAAGAGATTCTAGAACAGCTTCTAGAAGTGTAGCCAAGCATGGATATAAGAATGAGTATACAGAACAGTTTTCACCCCATTATATCAATCCATCTCACCCAGTCAGACAGGGAAAGTATGCTGTGAACCTTGTTAGTTAAAGAATTCTGACTGGTGGGATCCAGGAAGGAAGCCTTCTCTGCCATTGCTTCCAGCCTTTGGATCATTCTCCTCCCCCAAAAGATGAGACAGACCCCCACTCTCCTGGCCTTTCAGAAATGTAAAAGACTTGGCTCTGTTGCCTTGCTTGAGGCTCATAGGGAAACATGCTACCCTGGGGCTGACTGGTGACCCGAAGGTGCTCCCCCACCCCTTAATTAACTTTTAATGTTGAACTTTAACCATTTTCACCTCTTTTACATTTTATATATAATTTTTATGTTTTAATATTTTATTTGTACATAGCCGGGAGTCCTTCTCTGAATGAGATGGTCGATTTCTACATTTGATAGCTAAAAGTAAAGAAACAAATAAAGTTAGTAATTGTCTATTCACAGGTATAAGGCAAACAACAATTTTAAATGGCATTGAAATTTAAATAGCATTGAAATCATGTTACAGCTTCATTCATCTAATAAAAGATCCATGCTAGCACATGACTTACGCTTTACCTTGGCTTTCCCCATGTGTAAATATTTGGTCTCATTTAGATTTACACAGCTGTGCCCTCAGTTGTTTTCTCTTGCAAATCAAATGGCAGGAAAACCTGATTAAATTAAAAGGCTATCTTGGTGAGGAGAAATACAAGAGATTCTAGAACAGCTTATAAAAGTGTAACCAAGCATGGGTGTAGGAATAATTTACTACAAGTTCTACAATTAAGCTTCTGTAGAAAGCCATCTTCATATGTAAATAACTGTGCAGTTGAAAAGGATATAGCCACACTGACTGGATCTGGGCCAGATAGCTTTGTCTGTCAGTCCCCAAGTTCCGCTTTCAGACTATAATTCAGGGAAGACTCTTTTAATTAATTGGTTCTCAACCAATCTTGCATTGCTTGGTAACAACAAAACTGAAAATGGAAACAGGGGATTACAGGAATTTTTGTAACGTAACCTTTTTATTTGGTGGTATAATTGTGCTTTAAAGATTATGCAGTCTATAGAAAGAGTAGGTAAGACACATTTTTCTCAAGCACAAACATGGAGACATTAAGATAGTGTAACATTTCTTCTTTAGCAACTGATTTTCAGGCACCCTATTGGAAATATACTATAGTTTAGTTAAAAGGTTTTTAATTGTTTATTTGTTTTTCAGAACCAAGAGTATATAACTATGGAGAATAAAGGTGAGTATTACTCATTTTTCTCTGTCAATTGGTAATTTAGAGTGTCTCAGTGTTTGTAGAACAATTGGCATTGAAATGTGAAAAGTATGCCGTGGGCAATCTAGTAAAATAATTGGCACAGAGCATAAGGGTTAGGGTTAGGGTTAGGTAGCTGAATCTGTAGCTAAGACTCAGGAACTGAAATCTTTTGGCAGGCTGAAGGAGAGAGATTCAAGGAAGGTCCAGACAATATACCCAACTCGGTCCTTCAGCGACTGTTTAAATAAGCATTCTTTTATTGATTTGATGTGGGAAACATACTGCACTAAATGTTGAGGAAATAGTATGTTAATATACAAATGATGCATGGAAATTTAAGCATGATTCAGAATGCTGTAAAGTTTTTTTTACTCCTGCTTTATGCTGATACAACATACTAAATTCATATCAGCAAAGCACATATGCTCTATTCAAATAAGATAATTTATCTAAGTAATACACTCTATAGCAAATGGACATGGTGACTAAGTTCTTATAAGTTGCTGGATTCCCACACTGAAATTCCCAATGCCTTTCAGTCTAATTAGCTTGTTGTGAAAACTTAGCCTGAGTTACATTATATCAGGTTAAATATGTTGTTTTTCCATTAAGTATTCTTTGCCTGTTAAGCATTGGCTCACTGAAATGTAGACTTGTAACTTTCTCAGTCCAATATTTTATATATTTCAGAGTTGAAATTTATTATTATTTCTGCAACTTCCCAAATAAGATAGCATTTAAAAAGCAGATATATTTATTTGATTTATGCATGTCTAAGAACACCTAAATGAAAGAAGGTTTCTTAATATTTGACCTGCCTTTCCTTTATTTTAGCAAATCATTCTGTACCCGTAGTAGTAGCTCCTGGATATCCTGGACCACAGGCACAGTATGGATATCCTCAATACGCTCCTGGAGTGGCTCCATACCCTGGTCCACAAGCCTTCCCTGGTAAATATTTTGTAGAAATATTTCCAGTTAAACGTAGAGTCCCTTTATTAGGGATGTATGTACACTGCATGGCTTCCACACCCTCAGGTACTTTGAAGCATTTCATTGGGATCATGTGCAAAGCACTGCACAACATTTTCAGTGTTGAACTAATATTATATTTTCACTTTTTAAAGCGAAATAGTTCTTTATTGGCAAAAATTAGCTTCTGCTGCTTTCAAAACCTTTCTCACGCTGAAGGAAAGTCTAATGGGCAGGGTATTTTTGGTGTTACAGTCCCTAGAAGCTAAAGGTTGGACTAAACTACACTTTGATATTTTATCTAAAGCACATAAGGAACGGCTGCTGGAATTGGGTATGTCTAGTTTAACGAAGAGAAAGATGAGGGGGGACATGATAGCAGTGTTCCAATATCTCAGGGGCTGCCACAAAGAAGAGGGAGCCAAGCTATTTTCCAAGGTGCCTGAAGGCAGACAAGAAGCAACGGATGGAAACTAATCAAGGAGAGAAGCAACCTAGAACTAAGGAAAAACTTCCTGACAGTTAGAACAATTAACCAGTGGAACAACCTGCCTCCAGAAGTGGTGAATGCTCTAACACTGGAAGTTTTTAAGAAGAGACTGGACAGCCATTTATGTGAAATGGTATAGGGTTTCCTGCCTGAGCAGGGGGTTGGACTAGATGACCTCCAAGATCCCTTCCAACGTTATTATTTTTATTATTTTTATTTTTATTATTATTTATTACTACTACTACTACTACTACTACTACTATTATTATTATTATCTAAATCTGATCACTTTATCTAATAGAATAACCAAATTGTAGGCTGTTAAAAGCCATCACTAGCATTATTTTTACTATGTTAAATAGTCTATCATTGTGTTTAATAATATGAAAGGGGAAGTTCAGTTAGAGCCATTCAGCAGGGCAAATGTCACCATGTTGTAAAATTGTTGCAAAATAAGTATAAGATTCCTGATGAGGAAAAGGGAAACTGAAATAACATCATTTCAAAACAGTTAAAGGGAGTTCATTCAGCTTACTAGGAGTCTGCTGCAGAGATTTCAGAAGTGATGATAAATACATTATCCAAGAAAAGGGAAGGGCTGTTTTTTGCTTATTTAACTGTACTTATTACCCTATTATCAATCTTAATGAAATTGTTGTGATGGGCAGCATATAATAATTAAAAGCAAAACCAACAATAATATCCCAGTCCAAAGTTCAAGATACGTGTATTCTGTCAATTACCTGGGGCTAAAGACATGCAGAAATAAAACAGATTTTAAAAAAAGATCCATAAGGTAAAGTGAAGGGAACAAACAAGCCCCTGACCCTTTTTAGTGAGCGGAGACCATGCTTTCTGCTTTGTAACTGCACAGGGGGGGAATACAAAGTTCTGTCCAAAATAATAACATATGAGTTGATGGGAAGTGGTCAGCTTACCTTTGCTGAGAATACTGTAGATAAACAAGAGTGGAAAGAATGAGCAGATGGTGCAGTTATGAAAGAAAATGAGATAAGTTACTGTCATCTCTGTTAAATAGATGTTAATTCTATCTTCCTTTTGTCACCCTCTGGAATTTTTGCAGTAAAGAGCTTATAGTCCATCCACTGAGAAACCTGGTTTTCCAATGCAGAAGAGTCCATGAACACTTTCCTTCTGCATGTGGAGGGGACTGTGACAGATTATCTGAAATCATTTGGTGGACTGCAGGAACAAAACTGAAGTCTTCAAGACAGAGCTGAAACATCCAAGATTTCAGCTCTGTGCACAGAGGAGAGTTGAACTCTTTTGGCAGGCTGCAGGAGCAGAACTAAAACTCCAAAGGTTTCCTGTTCTTGCAGCTCACCAAAGGATTAGCCAAACCTATTTGGCAAGCTTCAGCCATGGAACTGAAAACTTCATGATGGAACTTCATGGAAGAGATAAGAAATCCTTTGGCAGGCAGCTTTTTCAGCCAAGCCCCAAAGACAGGGAGCCAAAATCCAAGCAGGATGTTCTGTCCCAGAGTGGAGAGGCAGTGGGATAAAGTAAAGTGGGTGGGGTGTCATGGGTGGGTGAAGGAGGCCTGGCAGAGGCACAGGTTTGAGTGTGTCTCAGCTCAGGAGCTGTAACTCCTGCTTGGATTTCAGCAGAGAGAAAGGACAGCACAGTAAAGTAAGTGCTCAGGTAGGCCTGGTATAGACTGTGAGAGTGTCTTTCCACTCTGATGCTAAAAATCCTGCTTGCGGGGAGGATTTTTCAGGACCAGAGTGGAGAAGCAACAGTAAGATAAGGAGTGTGGAATGGCTCAGAGGTGTGGGTGATGACCTTGTAGGCTTGGCATAGGCGGTGTATGATTGTCTCTCCATTCTGGTGCTAAAAATCCTGCTTGGATTTTGGCAGGAATGATTTTCAGCTCTTGAGTATAAATACACTCATACAAGGCCTGCACCAGGAATCCCACATTTTTCCCCACCTCACTGAGGCACCCCACACTTCTTACTTAGTACTCCATCTACTTAATGATCCATGAGATCACTTAACAACTGCAACCGGAAGTTCCAGTATTGCATTCATTGAGTGAAACAGTCATGATGTCCTGCTTAATGACTGTTGTAGCAATAACAACAGTACTTAGACTTATATATTGCTCCACAGTGCTTTACTGAGAAGTTTATAATGCCTGCACATTGCCCCCAACAATATGGGTCCTCATTTTACTAATGTTGGAAGGATAGAACACTGTTTCCAGTTCATTTATGATCATAAGTTGAGGTTTGGTATATGGCTATTGGAAAGAAAGTCATTTATGTAAAAGACTGGTTTAGGAGAATCAACCAATTTCACAAATGAGTTTTTCTTATTTTACAGCCCATTAATTTTAATCAGTATCATTAATTCAATGCATGTTTAATTTTCTGTCCTTAACCTTCTATTTATTGGCATGTGTGTAATGCATATCTACCCATCAGTCAACCCACTACTATACTCTTCATTGAAGGTTATGGATTGTAATGTAGCATGTTGTCTAAAGTATATTTGTAGATAATGTTTTTCAGGGTCTAAATCTAGGACTGAGAAGTCATGTCTTAGCTTCTGAGCATAATACAGGACTAGAACTGTATGTGTTGGCACTCTTCAACACATACAGACACAAAAACAATGTACACATAGAAGTATATGCTTGTTGAGAGAAAGAATTGCCAGTAAGATAGAGTGCAAGATTTTGATATGAATTTATATCTGCTTTACTGAATATTACTTACTGACTTAAATTTGGTTATTTTCTTTTGAGATAAAGATAGTAAGTTTAACCATGAAAGAGAATGCAAATCACTTGTGAAAACATCTTTTCTCAAATATTCCTCAAAATGTTGATAGATACCTTGTCTACCTCCAAGCAATATAAGGTAGGAATTAACAAGTCAGAGGAAGAAAATATAAAGAATATATAGATCTGATACCTTAATATGAATTCCTTATTGGACTGATTATACTGTGCTGCAGGCATGTTTCTCGCAATTTATCAGAAGCTTCCTGGAAGGATGTACTCTTTGCTCTCCATTATGTAAAACTAAGTTGCATAGGATAATGATGCTGTGTAAATAAGGAGAGCAATAAGAATAGTAGAAAGTGTAGTTTTGTTAGCCTTCTAAAACAAATTGATTCTCCTGGCCTGGCAAGTAATTCAAAATGACATTCATATGAATGATGGCAACCATGTAATGACTTTTTATATTCAAATAATAAAAGAGATACCCTTATCCCTTGGAAGAGGCATGCATCCAGCTATTGCAGTCAGTAAATCATTTGAATTTAAAAAGCCCTTGGGGAAAAGCATACAGCTTTTAGATTGTGGAAACATGGCCTTGTCTACATTAAAAAATGGTGACAATTTATTGGGCTTTGAAAATGGTGTGGGAAAAAAAATTGCAATGTGTAGAAGGCCATAGCTCAGTGTACTTGGCTTGCATAAGATTTCAGCTTGAACCTTGGAAAGGATCTCTATCTGAAACCTTGGGTAGAGGTTAATACTGAGCTAAGTAAATTAATAATAACATAATACATTGTTGCTTCTTGGATTAAATATTGCATAATTGTTCAGGTGATTCATTTGTTGAACATAGCCTGGACAGATGTAGGCACAAAGCTAACCTTAATAAAAACACATGGTTTCCTTTAAACTATCAATTCTTGGTGACTTCATGGACACAACCATGCCATTTCCAAGAGTATGGAAACAATTTGCTGCTACTTCCTTCCAGAATGCTATAAACTCCCATGTTTAGCTTATAGCCCTGGAATTCCCTAGGACAGGGGTATCAAACTGCCAGTCTGTAGGCTGGATGCGTCATTTGGAAGCCGTACCTACCCTATTGTTAGCAATGGCAAAACTGTCCTGATATGTTGCGCGACGTCATGTGATGTTGCAAGTTTGACATGTCTGCCCTAGGATTTATCTATGTCCTAACCAGATTTGATCCTGTTTAGCTACAAAATCAGACATCGTGTGCCAACAACTGAAGTATGTGACTTTGTATCAGTCAGTCTCTCTTGAACTAGCTCACTTTATAAATAATTGTAGGGATAAGAAAAGTAAGATGAAGAGGAAAGACAAAAGATGATGTACTTTGGCTTTAGATTTTTGAAGATGATTGAGTGAAAAAAATTAATTGCACCTTCAAATTTCAATATAAAATATACTCTCAAAAGCAATAAAATTAAAGGTTAGTGCAAATCACAAGTGAATTGACTCAATTTCACTCAACTCAGTTTCCAGTTGGATGATCTATTTTACAAGTTTTTGGCTTACATGAAGAAAACACATGATTGGAAAATAATTGCCAGAACAATTTTAGCAAATGATCATAGCAAACTTTCATACTTCCCTAATTTGATCTGGTTTCTGATGGAAAAGGAGAAGACATAGATTTCCTTTTTGTTGAGTATACAAAACAAAGAACTTGAATAGGTGTAAAGAGAAAGCACACCATGACTGAGTCTACATATCAGGCTCAGTCATGCTTTGTTTTAATGTAGGATTTTTCAATAAATTAGAATTGATTGGGTTCACAAAATAATACAAGCCCAGTTGGACAAAGTACAGTATACAAACATCAGTGGGAAACCTGTCTTAATTTATTAAGGGCTACAAGTTAGTCCCCAGTCAGATGTCAGTGAAAACAATTGGGTTCAATTTTCATTCTCATTTCCTGCTTTTGAGTGTGTTTGTTTTAAAGAATAGGAACTGAAGTGACTTGCGTCTCTGGAAGGCACTTCCATTTTCACTCTGAATATCTCTCCAAGATGACCAAAAGTCATGCTGCATTTGGGGAAGAGAAAGGAATGAGTGGGATACTGAAAATGTGGAAATCATGCCTCCTCAGCTTTCACACTGTCATTCCCACTCTTGTTTTTGTAAGAAAATAGTAGTGCATGAGGTGTCACATAGCTTTTATGTGAAACATACTCCTGTTTCTTGATGATTTTTTCTCCATTATTACTTCAAGTCAGTGACTGCCAGGTGAATGCCTGGACCATCCCCGCAATTTTCTTGAAAAGACTGGCCCAAAGTCACCATCTGTTTTGTGCTTGAATATGGGTCTAGAACTCATGGTCTCTGCCTTTCTATTCTGATGCCTTAACTGCTATACAAAACTCACTCTTCCTGTGGATTAGCACAGGAGAAACTAATCAGTCTCTGGATCTCAAATACTATAATTTGAGGGACAAACGCTCCCCATGGTCATGTGGCTGCACTTCACATGCTTGGCAAATGGGGCCATGTTTTATGGCTGTTTGCAGTGTCCTATAGTCATGTGATCACATTTTATAGTGTTTTCGCCAAAAATCAGAGTTTACTTCTACTTTTTGGCAAAACTGCCCATAGATTTGCTTAACAACTAAGGATTTGCTTAACAGCTACCACAGAAAAGGTCATAAAATGAGATAGGTCATGTGACCAACCCACTTTACAACTGTCACAAGTTATGATCATGATAGGCAGGCTCAATGTGATGAAAAAAATGCTTAAAAATAATATAGATCATGATTATATCCTGCCTTTATATAAATAACTTAAGACAGTGCCTAATATTCCTACCTCCTATTTTCCACACCACAACAACTCTCTGACATGGTTTAGCTGAGAGAGTGTGATTGGCCCAAAGTCACCTAAATAGCTTTCATGCTTTTCAGGCCTAAGAATTTAAAATCTCTAGGTCAGCATTACTAGATAAATAAGTGTAATAATAACAAAATGCTGCATGAACTTTCTTTGGAACAGAACTTCAGAATCAAGGTGCATTGTCACTGCAGAAAAAAATCCTCCTTTTTACCTGCTACCATGTTAATTTTTAAAAGCAGGAGCAATCAAAAGTAAACTTTGGTTTATGCTGGAAAGAAATTCATAAGCAGTGAAAATCTTCCAAAACCTTTCTGCATACAATATGGACATAGTAGTTTTCTTTTCTCTAGGTATCACTACAAACATATAAACACTACTGTCCTTTACTCCCTTTTAATTGAGAAGATGATGCCATATTAGTGTAATCTATCATTATAAGATATCAAACAGATACCCATCATATGCCTCATTGTAGGGTGAGGGAAAAGGAGAACTACATTGCATTTCAAATTCTACATAGGCATATGCTGTCAGGTATACTGGCATATACATAGGTATATAAATAAATAAATAAATAAATAAATAAATAAATATATGATTTTTTTTTCCCCTTTTTGATACATCCTGAACATTGATAAATCTAAATGTCTATGGAGATTCTCAGTCATCCAGATCATGGCTGTCCCAAAGGTGCTTTTTCAGGAGGCAACTGGACCATCTTGCTTTTCTTTGAAAATGTTTCACTTCTCATCCAAGGAGCTTCTTCAGCTTTGACTGGATGGTAGAAATGGAAGGATTTATGTTCCTTGCAAATAGTTCATCCTCAACAGCCTGCAGCTGTCTTCAACAGTGAAGGGACACAGGGCAGGAAACATCCTGCAGCCAAGAAAGCTCCATGCCCATTTGTACTACTCAGGTGACCCTGAGGACACAGCTAAACCTTCAGATGGCCTCAACGACTGTCTAAAAGAATGCAAATGACCAGCTGTCTGCAAGGAATATAAATCCTTCCATTCCCCACCATCCAGTCACAGCGGAAGAAGCTTCTTAGATGAGAAACAAAACATCTTCAAAGAAAAACAAGAAAGTCCAGTTGCCTCCTGAAAAAGCACCTTTGATAAACCCAATTACTTAAACATAAAACAAAAAATTCTGCATGCACTGCTTTTTTTTTTAAATATTATTGTTTGTTTGTTACCTCTTTTCCTAAAAGGTGCTCCTGCACAGCCCCCGTATGCATTTCCTACAGCTTATGGAGCTCCATCAACCTATAGCCAACCTGCTCCCCACGCAGTTTGGATGCCAGAACCACCACCTCTTCCAAATTGCCCTCCTGGACTGGAATATTTAAGTCAGGTATCTCCCTCTCCTTCTACCTAATAAAGTATAATTGAGAATTTCTTCAAAATATGTGAAAACAGTTATTCTTATCTTGATAAATAGTTTTAAATACAGGGACCATAGGTACTTTATTATAAAGGCTACCTTTTTGTGTTATTTATTTTTCAAAAAGTCTTATTTTGCCTTTGTTTGGTCACAAATTTTACTGTACAAAAAGCTCACCACTTAATTCATAGTTTTCCACATTCATGTGGAAAATAGGGAAACTGAACTGTATGTTTAAGATAAATTTACATATACTTTTCTATTTTAGATATTTTTATGAGAATATGAATTTTGGTAATTTTTTCTTGGTTTTCCTCTTTATTTTCCTTTTTAAAGCAAAGGATAATCATAAACATTTTTTTTTAATCCTTAGAAACCTCCTTTTTCAGAGTTATCCTTTATTCTTTCAAGAAAGTATGGTCACTGAAAGTATAGGCCATTCATTTATGATGGTGATGATAATGATGATTTATTAAATTTATATGCTGCCCAATTCCTAGCAACTCTGGGAAGTCCATAAATGATTAAATATTAAAACAAGAAAATGACACAGCCCAAAAAAGAATAAAGATGGCAGAGATAACGAACCTGGATGGGAACAGAGAAAGGAAAGAAAGGGGAGCTTCAATCATGCTCATCAAAATTTTGGGCAAAGATCCAAGTCTCCAGGGCCTTTTGAAACATCAATAGGGTGGGGGGATGTTTGACTCTCAAAGGGAATGTCCTTCTAGAGCAGACATGTCAAACTCGCGATGTCAAGTGACGTCACAGAATGTATTGGGACGGTTTTGCCATTGCTGGCAATGAGGAAGGGGTGGCTTCCGGATGATGCATCTGGCCCATGGGCTGGCAGTTTGACATCCCTGTTCTAGAGGGCACTGGAATAATGCAGCCCATATTCTAAGTTTTTAGATACAAGTTTTTCCACTTCTGCATAAAGATGCTTAAATTTGAAACCGAATAGTCCTCAATGCAAGGCATGCACTCATTAAATATCAGCCTACTTATATTTAGAATAAATCTTGGACAAAAACATATGTCGAAGCCTGAGAAGTCAAAGCTAGAACAGGAGTGTTTCTGCACTTCGTGGCTAAAACGTGTCCCATTCATTTAGAAAGATGACAAAGGCTAGTGTATAGGTTTTGAAGAATAGCTATGAGAAGACAATGGAATGAAAGGACAACTTTACTTGATGGTATATTAGCAGCTGCTAGAAGATTGGAATGGTATAGAGGACTTCTGTATGAACTAGTCCTGGTTCTGTTTTTTGTAGTTTGATTTGTGAAAGTTGTTGCTTCCATTAATATTGACAATTCGAAACCAGACAAAACTGCTGTGCTTTAAATGTGTTGGACCTACAACCTCTTGGATTCCCAGTTGACAAATTCTTTGTACTGGCTGGATATTTTAGAGCAGGGGTTCTCAACCTTGGTAACTTTAAGACTTGTGGACTTCAATTCCCAGAATTCCTCAGCCAGCAAAGCTGGCTGAGGAATTCTGGGAGTTGAAGTCCACAAGTCTTCTGGCTGAGGAATTCTGGGAATTGAAGTCCACAAGTCTTAAAGTTACCAAGGTTGAGAACCCCTGTTTTAGAGTGATGGTCCAGCATATCTGGAGGGGATCAGAGTTGACAGACGCTGAAACAGGATTCCTCTTTAATTCTGAAAACTTTATTAAGAAGAAAATAACTTCATTTTGTTTCCATGTAAGGCACTTCTCTTAAATGATGAGGTTGATAACTTACAGACTAGTTGCAGAATGAATTGGTTGATTATGCCTCAGTTCTAATATTTATTTTTTATCACGTTCTTCCAACAGATTGATCAGATATTAATCCACCAGCAAATTGAACTTCTAGAAAGTAGGTATTTTATGTTACTTGGTATTCATGACTTAGAAAAAATTCAGATGAATGTACTATTTCTTTAGTAGTCTTCATATGTAAGAACAGAATTTTATTAATATAACTATATATTTTTTCTAGATATATTTTCTATTTAGTAATAATAGCTGCTTAAGCACAATATAATTCTTAACTTTGATTTGGTTTATATTATTTGTTATAAGTGTTGCACTGTTGTGCTAGTTATTTAGCTTGAGTAGTTAATGGCAAAGTCTCTAATGATGACAAAAATACTATTTCTTGTGTTGTAATGTTTTTCTGAAAGAGGTATAGTTACACTTAACCACTAGGAGATAGAATTTTATTGGTTTCATCCTACAGATAGTTCTCAACTTACAGACACAGAAGGGAACAGAATTTCCATTGCTAAGCAAAGCAATTGTTAAATAAATCATACCTGATTTTACAACCTTTTGCCACAATTGCTAAGTGTATCGTGTAGTTGTTAAGTGGCTTTTCTCATTGACTTTGATTGTTTGAAGCCAGCTGGGAAGCTGCAAATGATGATCACCTGAACCATCCTAATACATGCTGATTGCCAATTGCCCAAATTTTGATCACATGATCATGGGGATACTATGATGGTTTTAAATGTGATGACCAATTGTAACTTTAGGCAGTTGCTAAACAAATGGTTGTAAGTTGAGGACTACCCATATTTGTTTTTTTTTTCAGGTGTGTTTAGCCAGATGGTATTCTGTGGGGTTCATATCTACCACCCAAAATTGAATTCATGATATTTGCATGTTTAATGACTGCATATAGTTCAATAGCTGTGGAAGCTCTCCACATCCTGATGTTTATTCATGTTGCAAAAAGATATATTAGAATGCTATATACAGTTACCTTCTTCTTAAGTTCTCAGATATATACATAGATAGCACATTATGTCATATCCCCATGTATGGGATTATATATAGCCAAAGAGTTCCAATTCAGTTAAATTGGTGGTCGGTGTGAAAACTATCCACATCCATGGGGGGGGAGGGAGGGAAAACTATCCACATTCGGGGGGAGGGGGAGGGAATCAAGAATTTCCAATCTCCAAAAGATTAACTGAAAAAGGAATACTTTCATATTATTTGTATATTATATGCTGCATGGTCACTGGAAATTGTTTTTTGATCCTGGAACATACTGTTGTAAATGAAAACAACCTTATTTCTATATTTCTTGTCACTTGGGATTTTAAAAAAAATAGATGAAATTCCCTTTGAAGGAAGAAAAAATGATTATTCCCCCACAGTACTGTAGATTGGAAATAAATTATTTTAGTTACCTCAGCATTGACTTGGGGAAAGGAAACTCTAATCTTGTTCTCTGAGTCCTGGAAAAAGCTGAGAGTATTTGTTCCATTAATTCCCTCTGGTTCCAGAAAGGTGAGCCAGAAATTGACTTTTTAATCTAGCCTGCCAGACATACAATCATAGCTAATGGACATGTATAGAAGCATGTGTGTGTATTCTGTCTCAAACATCTAGGGAGCATCCTTGTTCTCTTCATGAGCTGTTCTCTCCTTGATCTGTTTCTTGAATGCCAGTGGAAACCTTTGTGCAGTGAGACCTTACAGTTAATGAAATATTCCTAACCAAAGTTTAGTGAAAGGAAATAAAAATTTTCTTCAAATCTTTTCAGCACAGGGAAGCTAGGCTAAATTTTTGCCTGGCCCACAAAGCACTCCATGAACTAAATGTGATTGTTGTTAAAGATAAATGAAATGAAATTATCTATAGTTGATATGATTTTTCTTTGATCACGTATTTCATATATTTTGTCACATCAAAAATTAGAAATTAAAAGTCCAATTATTTTTGGGAAAGTTGGCGGATGGAAGTTTTAGGAACACACGCAAGTCTGTTCCTTTAAGTTGTGAGTTTCTAATGAAGGGATTGGATGTGCTTTGGGACATTGGATTAGGAGCTAAAACATCATAGTATCATGCATTAAAACCATATGAAATGTGATTGCAGGGTATCATTTTTCTTTTTATGTTTGTCCTTCTCACTGTCCCATATCTTCAAGTAGAACTTTGCAGATTATTTTCTTGACATACATTAGTATTCTTGGAAAAAGGAATAACTTAAAGTGAAATAGGATAATAGACCAAACAGCTTTATGTATGTATGTTTCTTTGTTTCAGTTATTACTGGCTTTGAGACTGCCAACAAATATGAAATTAAAAATGCTATGGGACAAAGGGTGTATTTTGCAGCTGAAGAAAATGACTGTTGCACTTTGAACTGCTGTGGACCATCACGACCATTTACAATGAAAATTGTGGATAATATGGGCCGGGAAGTCATAAACCTCATGCGACCTCTGCGGTGTTCCAGTTGCTGCTTTCCTTGCTGTTTACAAGAGGTGAATCCCTTGATGAAATATGCCTCTTTTGGCAAAGCCAATTTAAGACTCTCAGAATAATGGATATTAATTTGGGATATAGCCAATAAGATAATGTTCTTTAAGTTCTTATAGACTTTCTATTCATTTTTAAACCACTTCCCTATGCTTTTTAGGTTTACTTCAAAAGCTACCATTTCCTTCATGATTCTTCATTCTTTTTTATGTTGTCTCATTGCCTTTGATTTTTCAATACCAAATTCTATATCTGCTGGGCCCTTTTTCTATGAAAGAACTACATTTCAGCACCTTTTGAGGCCATATGAACATTGCCCTTTAATGGAGCAATCATGGACTTCAATATTCCTCCACAGTGGTAATTTGGAAAAAGGAAAATTCATGTGGAGTAACATAAATAAGAAGGTATAGTCTTGTGCTGTCTCTAAGATTAAGATCTTATCTAAGTAACAATGACATATTTTTGTATCTTTGAGTCCGGTTTCACTGCATTACCTTTTCCTCTTCTTTGTGTTGCCCTTCAAGGCAAAGATAATTTCCTTTGTAATATGCAAGTCAAGTGTGGGAACAAGCGAAACAAATACAAAATTCATATGTTTAATAAACAAATTTAATTATTTGTAAATACCATGAGAAATAAGTCATTTAATTAACCTTTGGTTGGTTATCCAAGACTTTCACAATGTATATATGCCTTCTCCTACTAACTTAAGATTTTGGAAGAAAGTTTGTTTATTTTCCCTCCTTTATTATTATAAATATTCAAGGCAGTGAACATACCTAATATTTCTTCCTTCTCCAATTTCTTCCACAATTATCTTTGGGAATTGGGCTAAGAGCAATTGACTATCCAAAAGCCAACCAGCCACTTTCCTGCCTAAGGCAGGACCATATGTCCTGGTTCCTAGGTCAGCACCTTAACCACTAGACCAAATTGGTTCTACAAGTAATTGTAGACAATACTACTTTGGAGTTAAAAATAATTCAAAAGAAATCCAATATTGGAAAGACAACTTTACACTGTCTTATCCAATCTACAAGGCTGCAGATTTCAGACATTCCATATAAGACTTTAATCTAACAGGCATGCCTTAAATACCATTGATGATGAAACTTAATTGCCTGCCTATTCTTCTGTCTGGATACTTCCATCAGTGCAGTTATTTCTGCTTCTTACTTGAATATCTGGATTGTTAAAAATTCTTTTTGATTTTCATAAATCAGGTTCCTGGATTGGGTGAAGACCTGTATGTGAGAAGAATTGATTGTCACGGTGAATTGAATTTAGGATGAACAGAAATAGCAATACAGGAGAATTTGTGGCATGGTCACTGGATGCAGTCCCATTTTTTAGGTGCTTAAAAGTTTCATGGAGTCCAGCCTGTTCAGTGCTTTGGACTTATCTGACTTCCTGTACCTTGTACAGCAGTGTGTTAAAGTTGCTTTTTTTGTTTTCCATACTGAGAGACACACTTGACCTTTGAATTGGTTACTAGGTGGGTACTCTAAACCATAGGTAGATATAGGACAAAAACTAAATTTAAACATAGTATTAAACTAGATTAATTAAAAAATAAGGTAGTCCTTACATATTTAATAATTTTTGTATTCTCATGTTTTAAAAACTTGGTAGCACCTTCTGAAGGAGTCTGCATCTAAGACCATATGTCACTTTAGGATTTCAGGAAAGAATTATGAGCAAGTGTGTTGAACAAGAACAACTTTTTGTTATAAATGTATTGTCTTTTTAATGAATTTTATGCAGACCTAACTGTTTTATCTCTTTTTTCTATTTTATAAAGATTGAAGTTCATGCTCCTTTAGGCACACCAGTTGGGTATGTTAAACAGACCTGGGATCCTTGTTTGCCAAAATTTGTAATCCAGAATGAAGCCCAAGAAGATGTACTCAAAATTGTTGGGCCCTGTGTAGTCTGCAGCTGTTGTTCAGATATTGATTTTGAGGTAAATTAACACTAGAAGTTCATATTCTACCTTTTAAGAGATTAATCAGTAAAACCCTGCCCATTTTATTGCTTGGAACAATGGCTTGATGGCATAGTATAAATCTTATAGTTGTTCTATATGGAATTATTACTAGTTTGAGAAAAATTTCCAGCTTCAGGGAAAAAAGTCATACATAGAATGACTTATATTCAGAAAGCATCTTCTTTTTGATAAAATGGAATGAGGAGTAAGAAATATTTTAAACTTTCTGAATGTTAGACTAACTTGTTTTAAAATATCTTAAAACTAGTACTGTTTGAATAATATTGTAAACATTTCCTAGGACTATTGAATATTGATTTGGCTTCTGAAGATATTTCTTTACATTTATTTCATTATTGCAGTATTTTTCTTAAATACTGACTTGAAAAAGTGTTATCTGCTTCAAGATACTTGAATTTTCTATATTATAAAACATTTTCTCTATTTCCCCCCCCCCAAACTAGGTGTTATCTTTAGATGAAAACAATGTTGGAAAAATTTCCAAGCAGTGGACTGGTTTCGTCAAGGAGGCTTTTACAGATGCTGACAACTTTGGAATCCAGTTCCCAATGGATCTTGATGTAAAAATGAAAGCTGTTATGCTTGGAGCTTGCTTCCTTATAGTAAGTATAATATTCTCAGATACTGTATTATTCACTAATTGTGTAATACAGTAATAGGTTTTTAGTGTAATATACCAGTGGAATTCCAAACGGAATCTACTATAAGAGCTTGAACAGAGCTTGTTTTTGAACCATCAGGAGAATTGCTAAATTCTTTTGACTGCCAGAGGAGGAAATCTAATTATCTCAAGTGTTAGGTTTGCTAGCCAGTTCTGGAAAGAAACTTCCAAATTTGCAAAGCATACTGGATTAGATAAAATTCTTAAGGCTATGGAATGGGCTGCCAATAGAGTTGCAGTTTTAAGGATGGAAGCAGCACATGTACTCTTCTCTATACTTTCCAAACTCAACACCCCTTAGAGATATTGGTATCCATAGCCCCAATAATTCCTCAGAACATGAGGTTTGGGGAAGTTATCCTGTGGTATGTCAATTTCGATGAATCCTACCATAAGGATTTTCTCATTAAAAGAAAACTGCTGAGTAAAATAGAAGAATGTCTGAATTTTAGCAAGTGACTTACTTAATTATTCTCTGTTTGTTTTTCTTCTCAACAGGATTTCATGTTTTTTGAACATACAGGACAAAATCGGCAACAACGTGCTGGGGTCTGGTAACAGAGTATAATCTTCATTGTAGGAACTTCCAGTGAAGCAGTTTCATCATTTTTATTTTCAATGGATGTCTCTTATAAGATATTTTGATTAAACATTCTTTTTCTTTTGCCTTCAATATCATAGGGTTTCAAATTACTTCCAAATTATGAAGGCTGTTTTAGAATTAATAGTTTCATTGAAGTGATTATATTTTTATATTAAAAGTGAGATCTTACTCCTGTGCCCTCAAGATTTTTTCAAATAGTGCTAGTGTTAAATTTTGTATTGTAACTTGAAGTAGTAATCAAATTTATATTTTGTACATAGTGAATATATAAAGTGGATTTTTAAAATAAGGTTTTTGTGTTTTGAGTATTTTTTAAATAGATCACATTTTCCATTACAATACACATTGAATTTGAGAGTGTCTAAGACTGAATAGGTATATATGTACAGGATTCACTTGATTAAATAACCATCAATTGGTAAATTTCTGGTTTCAAGAACAATTGTAGCAAAAGATGAATTGCTCCTTAATAAGATCTTAAAGATCATCAATATAAATAATGTCTACTATGTGAGATATGGAGTATTGACGTTCTAATCATTTCTAGTAAATGAAAGTAGAGTCTACCAAGGATTGATATATTTTTTTTAAGAAAGAAGACCCTATTCTTGCTCTATGTGCTAAAATGAAATCTAGATTATTTTATGGACTTTGCAGCCTCCCTTTAAATTGTAGCTGCTTTTTGACAGGGTCATGATAAAATATTGTAAGGAAAAGGTAGCTACCTAACCTAATGTTATCAGAGTTGTGACCATTTCTTGGGAATTCTATTATTAATCAAAGTAATGTGCATTATGCTTCTTAATAACTCATCTTCTAAATGACTTTTTTGGTAATCAAAGGGAATCTGGAAAATAATTAACCCTTTGGCAACTCTTGTTCAGACTAGGATGGAAGCTCCAACTCAGTTGCTTAATCAAAATTTTTCTTCTTTTCGTTGTCCTTTCTCACTCTCTTTTGTTACTGTTTATCACCTTTTCATCCCACACATTTATTTATTATTACTTCTTTATTTTACTGGATTTATGGGCTGTTCCAATTTTGAGTGAGTCAGTGCAGACTGCCTGTACTAGCACAACTTTTGTTTCAGGATAGAAATTCCTGGAAAAGGAGAAAGAAAGTTCCATATTTTGTAAATACTGTCCTCTCTCAATAGCTGAAATCACTCAGAAAAAAATGCAGATAGGGACAGATAAACCTACCTTTTTCTCATCACTTGGTACATTTTTTGCATGCTCTAAAACAGGGGTGTCAAAATGCAGGCCCACGGGCCAGTTTCATCATACCAAAGCATGCCCACCCCATTGCTGGCAATGCAAAAAGAGTCACGATACGTCGTGACACGTCACATGACCTGGCAAATTTGACACCCGTGCTCTAAAAGAAAACTTCTTGCAGTTAGATCATCTCCCACTGGAGTTGAAACAACCAGTGTGACTATCAAATGTCCCTCATGATTAAATATTGTTTATAAAATCATTAAATATTATTTGTGGTACATTCCACACCTTCTCAATTGTTTATTATTAGACTGTCCTTATAAATTGTCAATAAATTGAATATGAATAAATTTATTATTCATAGTTTTACTTTTAGATGTTTAAAAAGTATAGGCCTATTTAATAATTTATACTTTACAAGAACCAGCACAATTAATGCTATAAAGTTTATAATAATTTATTTTAAATGGATTTTTAAATAAAATTATGAGTTCTAATCACTTTTTGCACCAAGTACCAAACAAAGTAAGAAAATTCTGGTCACTGTGCCTTTTTATCATACTTTTAATTGTATCTGATAAGAAATGATATTTTAGCTCCAAAAGACTGGGTCCTTGTTGAAGCCTGGACTGCAATACTTACATATTTGAAGATTATTCTATTCCTCTCTAAATAGGATATTGTATATTTTGCTCATGAAATGCAACGTGTTGCAATATTAGAGATTAGTTGTCAAAAACAGATCATGCAGAGAAATCTTATTGCATTCTTTGACCAAGTGACAAAATTAGTGGATTAGAGGAATGCTGTGGATATAATTTACTTGGACTTCAGTAAGGCATTTGACAACCTACTACTCAATAAGATAGAAAAATGTGGGTTAGACAGCATCACTACCACATGGATTTGTACCTGGCTGACCGGCCATACTCAGCGTGTGATCCTCAATGGAATCACCTCTACATGGAGGAAAGTGTGTAGTGGGCTGCCCAAGGGCTCTGTTCTAGGCCAGTGCTCTTCAACATCTTCATCAATGATTTGGATGAGGGGATAGATGGGGAACTCATCAAATTTGCAGACAACATCAAGCTGGCAGGAATAGCCAATACTATTGGCTTAAGAAAGGCTTAAGATACAGGAGGATCTGGACAGTCTTGAACACTGGGTGCTATCTAACAAAATGAAATTCAATGATGAAAAAACTAAGGTTCAACATTTAGGCAAGAAAAACCAAATGTACAGGTATAATATAGGGGGTACCTTGCTCAATAGTAGTAACTGTGAGAGGGATCTCAGAGTCCTAGTGGACAATCACTTAAATATGAGCCAGCAGTGTGCTTGTTGTTGTTAATTGCGAAGTTGTGTCCGACCCATCGTGACCCCATGGATAATGTTCCTCCAGGTCTTCCTGTCCTCTACCATCTTCTGGAGTCCATTTAAGTTCATGCCTACTGCTTCAGTGACTATCTAGCCACCTCTTTCTCTGTCGTCCCCTTCTTCTATTGCCCTCAATCTTTCCCAGCATTAGGCCCTTCTCCAGTGAGTCCTTCCTTCTCATTAGGAGCAATGTGCTGCAGCTGCCAAAAAAACCAACACAGTGCTAGGCTGCATTATCAGAGAGATAGAATCAAGATCATGTGAAGTATTAATACCACTTTACAATACCTTGGTAAGGCCACACTTGGAATACTGCATCCAGTTTTGGTCACCACGATGTAAAAAAGATGTTGAGACTCTAGAAAGAGTACAGAAAAGAGCAACAAAGATAATTAGGGGACTGGAGGCTAAAACATATAAGGAACGGTTGCTGGAATTGGGTATGTCTAATTTAATGAAGAGAAGGACGAGGGGAGACATGATAGCAGTGATAGTAACCTGCCTCCAGAAGCAGTGAATGCTCCAACACTAGAAGTTTTTAAAAAGAGATTGGACAGCCATTTGTCTGAAATGGTATAGGGTTTCTTGCCTGAGCAAGGGGTTGGACTAGATGACCACCAGCTGCTGCTTAAACTGTAAGTTTTGGGAGAATCCACCAGGAAAGTAGCAAGGCCCTGATTGGATCTCCATTATATTTATAGTGTATTGTACTCTATTTAAACCCCATTCCAACTTCGGTCAGGCTGCTGGAACGTGCTACATATAATTATATAACTAAAAATCACAAACAGTAGCAGTACATTCAGGGCAAGTGTGTCTGACATCCCCTGTATCTAAGATGTCCGGCTTAGTTCAGTGCAACACCTGCTTTGCAGCTGTTTTTCGCAGTACCCTTTTCAAACTTGGAAACTGTCCTATCTGTAAACAAATCACTAGCCTACAAGGACAGATCATTTACCTAGGGTCTGTAATCCGTGCTCTTCGGGCAGAAATTAGGTGTCCAGTTCAGCCCCTCTACTCTAGTAAGCCTCCCTGCTATCAGCCCCCTTTACCACAAAGATCCTGCAGAAAAAGGGCAGTGTGGACAACCGTGGGATCTGGCAGGGTGAGAGCTGTGAACCATAAACACAAAGCTTTCGCTGTGTCCCTGCACAACAGCTACAGTGCCCTTGCTGACCTTAATAGGGACATTAAGGAGACTGGTAAAGGTATTTGTGAAGATAACTCAAATAAGCAGGGGATTGTGGTCCGAGATGAAGAACTAGATTTTGACAGGGAGAAGTGTGAATCAGGTATTGCACATCAGTCATGCAAGAATAGAAAGGCTCCCAAAAAGAGAAGCTACCTTCTGGTAGGTGATTCAATTATAAGGGATGTAAATTTAGGAAAGGACACAGAGGCTTTGAAAGAGGTCAGGTGTCTTCCAGGTGCTACTGCCAGTAGGGACAAGAAGCGTATTTCTAAAATAATCAAGAATGGCAGCAAGGACTGTGATGTGGAGGCTATTGTACATCTTGGCACTAATGATCTGTCCCAAAAAGATGTACTCTCTGTGCAGAATGATTTCCAGAGCTTGGGGAAGGAACTTAGCAGAATAGGCTGTAGGCTTACTTTCTCAGAGGTTTTACCAGTGTATAAGGAGCAAAACGGAAAAGGCCAGCGCATAGCACAATTCAATATGTGGCTAAAGGAGTGGTGTAAAGGGGAAGGCTTCGGATATATTAGTCACGATGTCAGTAGCTGGTCCAATCAAAAGATGTACAAAAGAGATGGTTTGCATCCATCAAAAAAAGGGACTGAGTTACTCGGCTACAAATTCACAGATTTTCTGGAGGGAAATTTAAACTAAACAGCGGGGACAGGGAGTTAATTGATACGGAACAACCCTGTCCCCGGCAATTTAAAAACTATAGGGCTATCAGTGCATGTAGCATAGATGTGTGTGTGGACAAGAATACCAACCTTGCTACCAATCAAAATGAAGCCTCTAATAGCGAGTGCCACATAAAGTGCACTAACCAAATAGGTGGTAAGACAATAGGGGAACTCAGGCACCACACAGGTTATGTAGAAAGGAAACACAGGGCCACCCACAAAGGACTCAAATGTTTATACACCAATGCACAGAGTATGAACAGCAAACAGGGTGAACTAGAAATTCAGGTTAACGAGGGCAGATACGATATTGTTGCCATTACGGAAACATGGTGGGATGAAACTCACACATGGAACACACAGCTAGAGGGATTTAAATTATTTAAAAGAAACAGACCAAATAAAAGAGGAGGTGGAGTTGCTCTCTATATAAGAAATAACTACATCTCCACAGAAATAGAGTACAACAATGATAAAAACTGTCTTGAATGCATTTGGGTCAATATAAAAGGGGGGGGGAAATGACATTGCCATAGGTGTATACTACAGACCACCCAACCAAACAGAGGAAATAGATGAACTTTTTGCTAGTCAGCTAACTAAGGTATGTAGGAAGCACACCACAATAGTAATGGGGGACTTTAACTACCCTGACATCAACTGGGAGACAAACTCCGCACCAAGTGGAAGATCAAACAGGTTCCTGGCAAACCTAGCAGACAACTTTGTCTCCCAAAAAGTAGAGAAGGGAACTAGGGGATTAGCCATTTTGGATCTAATTCTCACTAACAGAGATGAAATGATAGACGGTGTTGAA